ACAGATGGTCGTTTTTCTCAAAGATTTGCAGTAGACGTATAGATCTTGCCGTTTCTCAATCTCCGTGTAGACACGCTCGAACACCTCATTCCCCAGCAAACTCCTGATATGGCTCAAGACCATGTCTTTTCTCTTCTTTGGATCACAACTTCTGAATCGGATAAATGAGTATTTGGGCGAGAACATCATAATCCGAGTTCCCTTTCCTCCAGTAAAATATGCAAATGTCAAAGCATTGGGATCCAGCTGCCCTAAGCGTGCCATGATCTCGTTTGTGATGAGTGAAACGGTTGCAAACCCTTTCTTTGCAGCATCTATTTCCGCGTCTGATAGAAGGTGCTTCATACCGCATACGTACTGTTTCACTGCGGTTTGAACATTGATACCTCCTTGGTCAGGATGGTCAGAAAGCCAATGAGAGTCAACATCAACATCGAAGAGTGTTACCCAGGCAACATTTTCGGACTCATCCTTTAATCTCTGGAATGTGATAGTGTTGTACAGTGCTATTCTTGTATTTTCATAGAAATGTTCGAGAAACGTTTGTTCTTTTGTGTGTATAGCCAGTAAATACTCCTTTTGGAACTTCTTATCCCACTGTGCATCATTCTTGTTCAATCTTGTCATTTGTTTGATCTCATCGTCACGTAGAGCTTGATAACTTTCACTTTGAAGTGATTTGGTATCCTCTATTAAGTGTTGTTGCACAATAGCAGCAGGTACGATCAAGGTGGTATTCGTGTACGGCTGATAGGAGAGACTGCTCGATCCCGAAGGAGGATAGATTCTCACCTTGATGAATACCTGACCATTACTTGGAAGACTTCCAGAATCAGGGATCGACAAACCCCTCAGATGGTGAATATTTCTCATCTTGGCATTGCCAAGATCGTTTTCGTCACTATCGGTCACTTTCCGCTTTTTCTTGTCTGGTTCGCCATCCGATGGCATGTCAGATTCACCACCATACTCCCTTCCGTTTCGTGGTTTCATGAGGAGAGATTTTCCTCTTTTGTGGTCCTGTTGAGGGATACTTATATACTCAATTCTTTCAAAATCACGAATACATATATCCACACTTATATACTCAATTCTTTCAAAATCACGAATACATATATCCACGGTTGGGATCCCACTCCTGTACAAGATCGATCGATCCCCTTGGTAGAGTTTGGGGGGGGGAATTCATTCAGCACTTTGTTTTCTTTTTTTCATTCCATCCGGACCCCCACCCCTCAATTCCTCTAGATTCGGTGGGTAGTAGAGTACACCCCACCCTCTCCTGCCAGCTATCGAATCGGTGGGTAGTAGAGTACACCCCACCCTCTCCTGTATGATCAGCTATCGAATCGGTGGGTAGTAGAGTACACCCCACCCTCTCCTGTATGATCAGCTATCGAATCGGTGGGTAGTAGAGTACACCCCACCCTCTCCTGTATGATCAGCTATCGAATCGGTGGGTAGTAGAGTACACCCCACCCTCTCCTGTATGATCAGCTATCGAATCGGTGGGTAGTAGAGTACACCCCACCCTCTCCTGTATCATCAGCACCCCACCCCAACTACTGCAAACTCTAAATGAATGGCTTTGAGCTTCTCTCCTGCCACTGACATTCTGCTGAAATGTTTGCTTCCCGCGCGGCATGCATTTTTAAACAGCTATGAGTCCAATAGAGGCCTTGATTGACGTGAAAGGTTATCGTAAAAATTTTGATTCATCTTCGTTTTGCTGCGACCATTAAGCAGGCTTGCGAGTCGAACGATCATGTATCTGTACACATTCGGCGAAGGGATCTATCGGAAAGAAAATCAACGTCTATCGCTCAGCTGGTAAAGGAAATCACAAGTG